AAAAGACAACACTGAAACAACTATACTTTCACTAACATTTATTGGAAATTATTTAAATGGATGAACATTCAACAGAATAAAGGAAAAGAGTGATAACCTAAAATTATGCAGAAAAAAATGTTAAATTTTAACACCCATTGATTTAAAAGACAAAGAACATTTCTTAGCAAAATAGGAATAGAAATCAGTTTCCTTAATTTCAAAAGTAATCTAAGAAAAGCAGCCAAAAAAATCATGCAACCTGAAATATTACAAACATCCTTTTTTTTTTTTTTTTGGTATCAGGAATTGAACTCCAGGGCACTAAAACACTAAAGCCACATCCCCAGCCCTATTTTGTATTTTATTTAGAGACAGGGTCTCACTGAGTTCCTTAGCACTTTTTTGCTGAGGCTGGCTTTGAACTTGTGATCCTCCTGCCTCAGTCTCCCTAGCAGCTGGGATTACAGGCGTGCACTACTGTGCTCCGCTGCAAACACCCTTTTCAGAATAAGAAATCAGGATCACTATTGCCTGTAGTCACCACTCTTAAACAACGGAAATCTAAGTTTGGACAGGGGGTATGTGGCATAAGGATGGGAAAGGAAAAAGTAACTTCTTATTGTCCACAAAAAAAAAAAAAAATCTAGTGAAGGAACTGAATGTTTCTGGATTCAGGATCAATATATTAAAATCAACAGCATTTCTTTATCAGCAACAAGCAATTTGACATCATTTTTAAAAGAAAAGTAATACATGTAATTACAAAAAAAACACCCTTTTTATAAGATTATTAGAAATTAATCTTTTTAAAAAGAACATGCAAGACCAGCACAGAGAAAATAAATTACTAATTTTATTTAGAGATATAAAAGAACTTAGTAGAGTTTATTAGTATTAATTCTTCTTAATAATCTCCAGTGGAACTTTTCATGGAATTTCATAAGCTGATCTTAAAATGTATAAGAATAACTGATCAGGAATAGGAATAAATTGTTCTGAATCTGAACAATGCAGGAAGATACTGCCTTATCAATGCTTACTATAAAGCTATAACAACTACAGCAGAGCCAATGGGGCTAGAGCTAGAAGCATTCCTGTGTCTACAGAGAGAAGAGGCGTTAAAGAAGTCAACAGAAACAATCGTTTAGGCCCACATCAACAGAGATCTAGAGTCCAACCTCATACTGCAAACAAAATAACCTCCAGGTAGATTAAAGGATTGAGGGATTACATGAAAACCTAAAAGTTATGGGAGAGCAAACTACAATCTATTATCTTCTGAAAACAATGTAAAAAGACAAAACTGGACTCAAAAGTTTGTCATTAAAAAAGTCAAAACCTAAGAGAAAATATCTACAACCCTCAAATAACCAGAAAATATAAAGAATACTTCCAAATCAGCAAGGAATCTTGAAGGGATTCCATGAAAGTCACAAGTAACTTAGAGAAGAAGCAAGTCAAATGACAAATGCTGAAAGATAAAATGGCACTCAACTTTAGCAGACATTAAGGAAATAACCATTTTTTTTAAGAGAGAGAGAGAGTTTTTTAAAACATTTATTTATTTTTTAGTTTTTTCGGCAGACACAACATCTTTGTATGTGGTGCTGAGGATTGAACTCAGGTTGCATGCATGCCAGGCGAGCGCACTACCGCTTGAACCACATCCCCAGCCCCAAAGGAAATAACCATTTTAGGAATGGCGAGGTATCATTTCACACTCATTCAATTTGCAAGGCAAGTAAATCAAATCATTTCAAGTAAGGGTGAAGACAGAGGTACACAAGCACTCATAAACAGTGGGTATGTGAGCAAGTCAGCAATGACTAATAAGAGGTAATCAGTGATCTGTTTGTAGGTGCCCATTTAGAGAAACTCGAGAGTTCTGTGCAAGGAGATGCAAATAAGAATGCTTGTTGTAGTACTGTTTGAAAAGGCAAAAAAGCACAAAGATCCTCTCAGTTTGACATTAGTTAAATAGTTACAGTGAACTGAATACATTGATACATATAAACATGGGAATTATTTGAAATGTACTTTGGAGAAAAAAAATTACAAAAATAATATGTGCAATATGATAACATTTATGTAAATCCTTAAAACATACAACAATGGTGTATACTGCTATGGACATACATGTAAGTAATACAAGTAAGTACAGCAGGCTTTAAAATAATACATAGTTTAGAAGAGTGAAATGATGTGGTTTAGCAATATCTGTAGTGGTTCATTTAGAGAGAAAGATGAATTAGTAAAATGTTAAAATCTGTTTCTCTTTGTTGCAGATGGGCATATTATTTTCACTAGTTTTAAGTAAGTGTGAAGGGCTTCATAAGAAATTTTAAATAATTTGCTACTACCTTTCCACTATGAAAGCATTTAGCAGATACTAGGAAATAGGAAAAGAACTATCCTCCATTCTCCTACTCACACAGAGCTAACTGTTGATATCTTTTCACATATAATTAAACAGACAATATTAATGTGCTAGAATTTTTTACTTTGTTCTTAAGAGAATGTTATTATTTCAAACATAAAATTTATACATCCCTGTGGTTAAAAAATAAATTAAATTGCTGAGGAGGTATATATAAATGAAGCAGCTTCATTCTACCATGAACTCTATTCTATGGTTAACAGCTTCCCATTTATCAGGTCCAATAATTATGCTTTTATAACTAAGCAGGATGCAGTACCACTGAAGTGCCCCTGGGTGGAAGCAGAGTTCTCAAACTGTAAGATGTAACTTCAGTTAATTCTTAGATATAATGAATTTGATTGCAGCATTTCTAAAATATCATAATACAATTCAAACCAACTCTTGTACATTTTCATATTCAAAAAATTTCAAATTTCTGTTTACCACAATCATTTAGAAACTTAGACCAATTATTCACATTTAGTGTTTTTTTCTTTTAATGGGCGGATGTCTATTTTTCCCCTCACTCACACACAATAAAGAGTGTGTGTGTGTCTGTGTGTGTGTGTTTTTAAAGAGAGAGAGAGAGAGAAAATCTTTTTTTTTTTTTTTTTTTTTTTGTAGATGGACACAACACAATGCCTTTATTTTTGTGCTAGGCAAGAGCTCTACTGCTGAGCCACGATCTCAGCCCAAGAGTGTTTTTTAGAAAAGGAAAAAGGAAAAAAAACTCATTAATTTAGGGAATGTACCTCCAAGCACAATTCTGATACTGAGTAATTACATATTTTCAGGAAAATCTGTAACTTTAAACAGTTAACAGTAAACAAATAAATGTACTTATGAATTGTTGCTATATTTGATAAGCTTAAGGGCATATAATTCAAATAAACAAACATAATTCAAACTGTAGAGCTAGCTTGGATCTAGATATATCTTTGTAACCACCACTAACTTGCAGTATGGAGCAAATGAAATGAATGAGCTCACACATTTCTATTGTTCACTGAGCTTACCATCTGCCCACTCCTCCTACCTGCTTTAAGTGTTAACTGCCTCAGTGTTCTAGCTTTATAGGTGAGCCATAAAACCAGAGCAATGACAAAGCACATAGTTATTGAGAATTAATGTGCAAATTTTATAAAATTAGAACTGCTTCTAAATCCCAACTTCAGGAAAGTTATCACAGTTAGATAGAAAAATTCAAACTAAAAAATAACTCATAATTTGATTGGTTTCAAAAACTAAAATTTTCCATATAAAAGTCTTCAACCAATCAACAGATTCTGTCATCTATTCTTCAGAACCTTGTTCTGTCTACACTGTTTCTAAAAAGTCACAAATATTGGAAAAATGAATCAGGCAGGCAAAAAAAAACAAGAAAAAGGGGATTTTGAAGTGAAGACACAACTATACATTCAGAACATATGTAAAAAAGTCAAAGTGAAATTAAATTTCACCTTTCCTACTGAAATGTATTCTTACAATGAAGCCATTTCAAAGCATAGCCATCTAAGCAATATAATGAAAACTTCATATGCAAAAAAAAAAAAAAAAAAAAAAAAAATATCTTTGGAAGGAGCTCCACAGAACTTTAAAAGCAAAATATAATGCTAAAAACCACAAATATTGAAAATGGTAACTCCACTGAAAACAAATCAAAGACTGACTTAAAATCTATAGTTGGTTAGATACAGAGCCAGGATTGAAGCTCAGGTTTCCAAGATCTTCCCCAAACTTATATTTCTTTCTTTATTTATTTATTTTTAGTTGTAGTTGGACACAATATCTTTATTTTTATTTATTTGTTTTTATGTGGTGCTGAGGATCAAACCCAGTGGCTCATGCATGGGAGGCAAGCACTCTACCACTGAGCTACAACCCCAGCCCCAAAATTTATATTTCTATTTTAGATTAAGCTGTCATTTGAAAAAAAAGTTTCCCCTCAAAATTAAGCACTTCATTCAGACATTGATTTAGCATTTATACTATGCTGACCTTATGTCAATTATGTTTTTAGTATGAACCCCTCATTTCAATTTAATTATAAGCAATATTTTAAAAACAAAGTCCTAGCTGGGAACACCACTGTTCTGCCTGTAATTCCAACATCTCAGGAAGCTGAGGCACAAGGATCGAAAATTCCAGGCCAACCTCAAAACACTCAGCAAGACCCTATCTCAAAATAAAAACTAAAAAGAGCTGGGGATGTAGCTCAGTAGTAAAGCACCCCTGGCTTCAAATCCCCAGTACCACAAATAAAAGCAAAGTCCCACAGTCAACATTTAATATAATGAGTTATATAAAACTGTTGTTCAAATAAATATGTTGATCAATTATGCAAATCAATCAAGCATCCATATTTTTAATAGTACATGTATATAAAATGTAATATACATACAGAAAGAATATATGTGTACATCATATAGTATTCTCAAACAGTAAACACTTAAATTAGTAACAACAACAAMAAAAAAAAGAAAATGAAGGATGAACTGAATTTTTGTCAGAAGTTTCAAATTTTGATTCCTAAAAGGACACAGTAGACAAAGTTACTTTAAAAAATGTACCAACTCTTTTTGTTGAACTAATTACTTACCAGGAAATTGCGACACAATTGGAGGTGTATCCTCATCTAAGTCATCAACTCCTCCAGCAATTGGATAGGGTGGAATGGAGACTCTGGGCATTACTACCCAGCTGTGATCAGAATATAGGGAGGATGTCAGACTGGGGAGTCCAGAGTTATGGGCTATCTGAAAGCCACAGATCTTCTCAATCTGTTGCCAGCGAAAGAGTCGTTCTCGTAAACAAGTTGTCAACTCAGAAAGAGCTTTCCTGAAACATCAATATAAGAATTACTTGCTGCAAAGAATTTTTAATAGGACACTGTAAAGGCAGTAACACAAACAGACCATAGCAATTTCAAGAAGAAATTATCTAATCTCAGTGTAAATTTTGTAATTGTGTATGGCTCAATGATAAATTTAAATGTATGCATTTCAAAATAATAGCAAATAAGCAGATAGGTTTAAAAAAAATTCTTACTTTGCTTCCAGAATTTTGTGATCTACCTCATCTAGAGAGGAGCTATGTGCAACATGCAGAGTCCCAAAGACAGTGCTTCTCTTCTTTTTTATTTTTTCTGCCTAGAAATCCAAGAGGAGAAAAATAAGACTATGTTTGGGGGAAAAAGGAATACACATATACTAATAAATTTTATGTTGGTTTAGAATATATTAATAATTATAACACTAGTGGAGAATATTAGCCAAGATACAGTTGTTTTCAAAAAAAAGAAAGAAAGAAAGAAAACAAGAAAAAGCATGCTTTCCCAAGCCAATCAATATAATTCAAAACTGTGTTCTGGAGAATTTTTTTTCTTATTTCTATGGCTGAGAAAGACCTGAATTTTTTATTAAAACTAACAGAAAAACATTAACTATATCCTATTGCAATGGAGGTGTTAGTAAGTAAACTGAGCATTTTTTTTTTTTGCTAGAATTCACATTAAGACTGATTCTTATTCCACACAATTTATTAAGTGGCAAACATTCATTTCTAGTATCTACTAACCTGAATCAGATATGAAGCAGCAACCTAGAGGAGAAAAGCTCTGTATAAAACATTTATGATTATGATAATAGTGATAATTTTTTAAGGATACTAAGGTCACTGTGAAAGCTATACACTTCTCTAAATACAGCAATCTTACTTTATAGCCTATAACTGTAAGAGTCAATTTACAAAATAAATTCTAATTCAAGAAAAGAATCTCCAACAATAAAACTTTCATTCAGATCTTTATATTCAGTTGAATAAACCTTCTGGAATTCAGCCTAAGAAACATGTTTTGTTAATAATGAAATAAAGGTACCTCATCCTTAGCAATAGCTAACTGCATTTCAGCGTTTTGTCTTTTAATATTGTAGTATTGTACTTCTACTTCATGTGTTAATTGAAGCCATTTTTGAAGTGCATCTGGAACAGACCAGCTGCTTCTCAGTTCAAATTCCTTTTCAGCCTTTTTCAGAGCCATTCGAACCTGGAAGAATGAAGGAGGGAGGCATGCAGAAAGGAGGATTAGAATATTTTTAGTACAAAGACTAAACGAGAAAGCAATTTTGCTCTTTACAAACATCTTTTTAACTCAACAAGTAGAAATACAATATATTTCTCATATTAAAACTAAAGCTGAAGTTTTAAGTGTATCTTACATTCACTAAGCAAATTTGTAAAGCCAGACAGGGCTTAACTTATGCTGCAATATTTAGTTTTTATATTTTATAGTAGTCAGTCAGGATCACTGAAAGAAAAAACCCAGGGCATAAGCAACTTAAAACTGATCACACTTTTCCTATAATGCAATTTTTATTTATAAAGTAGGAATATGACAAAATTTTCAAAATCAGAGGGGTACCTATTACTGCTTCTAATTTTTTTTAAAGTTATACTTTTTTCTTTAGTTTCTCACAACATCTTCTTTATGGCCACTTATTTCTTACTGCTATATGTGTATTTCCTACTACTGTCCATTTTACTACTTCTACTCCACCCACTGCGGCTAATATACTTGAAAGTAGGTATTGATCATGTGTAAATTCTGAGAAAATACAATCTGAATAAGATTGATTTTCCTTAAGAAACTGTGAGTATCCTTCAGGAAAGTATATTGTGATAGTTCTCTGACTTTCCCTTTAAGGGAGCCAGGCAATAATAAACAGAAGAAAACACAATGCTTAGTGTTCGAGGTAGTAATACTGGTTAAGGGAAAATAGACGAAGGAAAGCTTCGCTGAGAAAATGACATGGAAGAAAGAGATAATCTATTCTTGCAATGATTTATTTTAAAACCAGGGAGAGCGCAAACTAATGATGTGTGAAGACATGATAGCATTTATAGAACTATATACGCAGAACTTAAAACCTTCAGATGAAGCAACAAGTGAACCAGGAAGGCCTTCCTTCTGGTGCCTCACAACTACAGATCATCTACCCCGAAGCTAACCAAGGTAACCATGACTCCACTCCCAACTGAAGTGCAGAGGAATAAATGTTTGATCTGAACAAACCCAGTTTATTTAAATAAACTTCATTGTGTGCCAGAATAAACTAAGAGGAGGACTAAACACAAAGTCCTGATAAAGAAAAAGAACAGCTGTTGGACACTGACGAAAAAAGAATTATGTAAAAAATATTTTTTAAAATTTTTTTGAAAACTTCACAGTGACACTAAATAGATTATTTAAAAAAAAAGATATTAAAAGTGAGGATAAGACAGACTTATTCTCAGAAAGCAAATTCTAGTTAGCATTTGCCTGGCATGATTCACTGTGCAATGTGCCTGGGACAATATGTTTAATAAGATGGTTGGGTAAGCTGTGTGGTGTCCCTGCTAATCTATCAGGAAGAGAAAATTTGAGCTCAAGTCCTGTGACATGCTGTTCTCTGCACTATCACCAAAGTGTACATAAGCAAGCCCTTTTTCACAAGATTTTAAAGCTAAAATTTCCATACAATTTTCATTTCTAAGGAAATATATGGAGTACCTTGACACATTCCTCTGAAGTTATTCTTTATACCCGTGTTTTATTTAATGTTATTTCCATAAATTTCCCCTTTAAAAATTCCTTTTCAGCCTTTTTCAGAGCCATTCGAACCTGGAAGAATCTATGTATTCTTAGGATGAACTGAGGATGAAAAATGTTTTACACTGACGATTAAATAATGTCTCAAACTTGTAGAAATTATAACTGCAACTATTCAACTGTTTTCTCTGCAATTATTCATAAATTTATCAAATGACCTAAATCCTAACCCTTAGTTTGACTTATTTTGTTAGTTATGGGAATGGACAAAGTGAAACTGAGTAATTAGTAGCTTTTGCACATGAGGAATTACTGTTTAAAAACAGGATAATTATTCACATAATTTTTGTATGTTAGAAATAAAACAGTCACAAGTAACAATATGCCACAAAAAGAAACAGCCTCAATATCTGAGAACCTGACTTCTTGGCCCAATTTTATTATTTATTACCTCTGAAATCTTGGGCAAATTCCTTCCCTCTTAAGACTGACTGTGGGTGTGATTATTTATCCTGGCTATAAGCTTCTTAAGTGATTTATATATAAGTGAAAAGTGATTTTTATATATGTGATTTATAAATATATATGATCTATAAACAAGATTTATAAATATATGCATAAGATTTATATATGTATGTATAAAAATATATTTTTATATATATAAAATAAAGGTCCACTGACAACTAATATATATATTTTTAAGAACAAAATTTTTTTAAAGAACAAAATAACTACTATGAAAACTGTTTAAATCAAATAAAATAGTGTTGGGGTTGTGGCTCAGCAGTAGAGCGCTTGTCTAGCACATTCGAGACCCTGGGTTCAATCTCAGTATCACATAAAAATAAACAAAATAAAAGTACTGTGTACAACTACTTAAAAAAGAATTTTTTAAAAAATCAAATAAAATATGATACAGTACTGATATGATAAATTATGGCATAATGGTGTATTAAGAATTGTAATGCAAAAATAAATAAATAAATAAATGGTACAGTACTATTAGTCAACCAAAAGACTTTATTTTAGGGGAAAATAACGCTATATAAAATATATACCAGATTTTTCTGCCTTCTACTTTTGAGAAGTCAATTAACCCCCACCCCAAAAAATACAGTAATGCTTCTAATTATATGGAATTGTACATAATGTGACATTATATGTAAATTAATTTCCCAGTTAAAAACGAATTTCTATCAATAAAGCTTTTGAGAGCAGTGTGGGAAATCACAAAGTATAGCTGTGTAACCTAAGCCAAGTTATTTACCTCCCTACATACTTCATCTACACATATTTATGTATTTTAAGGATTAAAACTTATGAGCAAATCATTGGCAATGTGTGTAGCATACACTCTGGCAAACAATTAGCACTCAGAGAATTTGTTTTTTATACGTATAATCATGTTGGACAGAGTTTCTCCTAAAATACCCACTTCCCCCTTTAAACTATCACTTATTTATTTGGGACCTAATTAGGATTATTACATTCAGAGTTGCAAACAAGAGGTCAACTAAGGTCTGATACCAAAACCTCAGATTAGAATGCTCATAATGTTTGGCCCCCTTTTTTTATATTGTGTCTTCTCTCCCACCATGAGGCAGTCACCTGTGAAATACTACTACAAGTTCTTTCTGATTTGTTCTTTCTTATCTGCAAAGGTCAGAAAAAAGTCAACAAACTTTTTAGTCCTGGGAACAAATCAAGAGCTAGACATCTCAGTGGGAATAGGCAGGGAGTTCTTACAAGAGTATAAAGGCATAATATCTAATTATTGGACACAACATAATTTTGGCTAGGCCTTTTTTTGTTAACTCCCTGATTCTTTACTGAAGTCTATACAAATTAGATTTGCCAGGTAAATCAGGCATGGCTATAAAATATGTCTAAGAGGCAATTGAAAAGAACAAACTCCCTACAGGGAAGAGATACAAAAGAATAGATGTCTGGGATGTGAGGGGAAGTGTAGTTAACAGTAAGAAAAGACTGAGCCTGAGACCAGTCAGACAAATTCTCCTGAAACAACAATCTGGAAGGAAATTGTAATGCATAGCACGTATTTTCCCATAAACTAAAATTAAAGCTCACTTATCACATAATTCTCATTTCTCCTTTAATGATCAAGGGAAGGCTAGAGTGCATATAACCAAGTGGGAGGCAGAAGATTGAGGTTCCTGTACCTGTTTTACAACTGACCCATTTTAAATCTGGAAAAAGTCTCCCAATCCTCATTCTGTTCATGGTTTTTTTCAGTAGAGAATGGTTCAATGTACAAGGAGATGAGTTAACAGAACCAGAGTGACATGCTTCAAAGATGAAGGGGCCACAAGCCTCCTGCTGCAGGCAGGCTCTAGAAAAGGAAAACAGACCCTTGCTGGTGACATGCAGTAGGATCCCAACACTGTGGACCCATTTTAAACTCTGACCTCCAGAACTAATGAATCTATGTTTGTTTATGCTGGTGAGTTTATAGTAATTTTTTTACAGCAGGAACAGGAAACCAACACATATGCACATAATTAAATTCCCCCAGAATCCAACCTTGTCCAAAGGACCCTGTGAAATGCTTGAACAACTGCATTCTAATCTGAGTAACTCAATGGGGAAACTAACATCAGGAAGGATGTCTTACAGGTGACTTTGAAACTTTTAGCATATGTTTTAAAACCATTTAACACAACTCAAAGGGATGCCTAATAGAGAAGTTCAAAATTGGATAGATTTTACCAAGTGACAACCCAGACATATTACAGATGTTAACAAACACCTTAAACACACTCAAGACAATTAACACAACATGACATAAAATTTTATGAAAGAATGAACATCATGGTAACTTTATCTTTCAGCGGCTACTCTGTTACTTTACTATTTGGACATGGATCAATAGTAACAATATGAATAAATGATTCTTTCATTAACTGAGGAACAGTATACAATGGGAGTAAAGGTAGAGGACTATACAAAAAAATATAAGTACCTGTTCCAATTCCTGCTCTGCATATTGGCGTCTGCTCAATTCACATTCAGCTCCCTCCCTTAGCTCTCTCAGTCGACAAGCTTCCTCCTTTGCATAATTGATTTCATCCATCATTTTGCGCTCTAGATTTTGCTTTTCTACAGCAACATTTCTGTTCTCTTCCTGTGCTTTTTCAAGCCTTAGAGAATAATAAAAATAAAAATTCCTCACAAACATTTCAAAAATTTCACTTTTATGAAAGAAAAAAAATACTGTGTCATGCAATTTGATACATATTTTAATAAATTCACAGCATTTTCTATTAATCTTTAATTTGGATAAGAAACCTACTGGGCAACCTACTATTCAGCTATTTTAGTTATCTTGAGCTCAAAAGACAGGGACAGTAGGGAAATATTCTTCTGCAAAGAGACTTTTTAAAAATTTGTAATTATATATGTCAAGTTAAAAATAGAATTTAACTATATAGTTCCATTTATCTTTGATTTACTACCACTGATCTTCAACCTATTTATTCCCAAGTATCATTTATAATAAATTTTGTAATTATGACAATATTTTCTAATACTAAGAAATAAAATAGGCATATAATCCTGATGCATGTACTAACCTGAACATGTTTACATTCATGCTCATATATTTTTACAAACTGTACTTCTCTGCATAGATAACTCACCTCTCCTGTAAATCCATTAAACTCTGCTCTGCAGTCTGGAGACTCTCTAAGTCTTTCATCATTTTTGCGACATGCTCTTTGGAGGTCTTATTCTGTGTATAAGCAAACCAGCATCCACCAACACCAATCACTATAGAAACTATGAGGATGAAGTCCTTCATCCAGTTATGAGGTGGTCCTATGAAGAGAACCACAGATCGTTAAGATTAATCTTTGAATATAACAGAACCGCAATACACAAAGGTACTTTTAAAAAAAAAGTACTATGTAACTAAAACCAAAAAACAAAATTGAAGATCTCCTTCCCATATGCAAATTCTAGCACTTTATAAATTCTTTCTTTGAATAATCTAAGTGCTTATTAACAGTATCTGATATACTAGACCTACAGAAGAGCAGAGAAAAATGCACAGGGACACATCATGTCCCTGCTGGTGGTAGAGGAAGCAGTCATCAAAGTTATGGGGACCAACAGTATCTCCAATCATGTGCTGTGAGAATGGGACCCTATGGGATGAAGGGATTCATAAGAAGTATCATCATTATCATTCAAAACTTTTTCTTCAGTCAAGTTATGCAGCTGTCACAAACTGGAAACCCAATCATTGATTCACCAAAAAGCATTTTCCACAAGCATATAGCTATGTAACTGTTCATCAATGGTCCCCAATAGTGGGTGATGTTGCTCCCAAGAAGACGTCTGACAATTTCTGGTTGTCAAAACTGGGTTGGGGGATTGTGATTGCCATCTTTGCCATCTAGTGAGTAGGAGACAGGGGTGTTGCTGAACACCCTACAATGCACAAGAGAACTTCCTCCCCATATCCCCTCTGCCAGTAATAAAGAATTATCCAACCCAAAATATGAATAGTACTAAGGCTAAGAAATCCTATGCCAAAGGGTCATATCAAGTATTGCATTTTAGGTAGTTATTTGTCCAAGATACAGGGTTTACTGGAGAGAAGAATCAGGTTCTCCAACCCTGACCTGCCAGGCATGACATAACCCTAGCACTATGTCTAAAATAAAGAGGAAGTTGCCAGAGCCACTGTCTTCAGTGACACAGAATACAAAAGCCACTAGGTCAAGTAATTTTTTAATTAATTCCTGACTGCTTAATACACACTGATTTTCAAGGACCCTCTGCAAGGGAGATACACAATGACAGTTAACACAATATAATGTATTATTTTAATGTTCCAAAGATATATAGTTTATAGTAGAAAACTGCCTAAATGTCCAGGCCTCCAGCAGGACAACATTTGGCATGTTTGGTTAAATGAAGAGCTCCACAGAAATTCCAAGTCCCTATGTTGATGAGCCCAGGGTTTGATATGTTTGCAACAGTGTGATAAATAGCAAGTTTTAGGCCAGAGATCCTTCATTTCCGTATTTCAAGAGCATACATCCTCACCTATAATGCACTGCAGAGGGCTACATACTCAAAAGGATTCGTTTCTATTTCTGCTTCTACCTCAGAGGTTCAGCTCAGGTTCAATTTCAACTAAGAGTCCTATTCTCTGACTGGCCAAAATATAATCACCAGGAATAAAAATAAAAAGGTGGTCAAGTCTTACACTCTATAATAACCACTACAGATCGGAAAGGATTTAAGTGGGAACTCCTTTCAAATGTATTTCTGGTCATCTGACATTGCTAAATTTTTATGAATCTAGCATGAGTGTTCTGACTCTAATACTCACTTACATAATAATTCTAAAACAAACACATTTAAAAGGTAATGCATCATTAACTTCCTAACTGGTTTTCTTATTAAAATATTTGTTTACAACATTCTTTGAGACCAGTTTGATTTCTTTTCAGATAACTGGATAATGCAGTATTCCCTCACTCAGAAAGTGGCTTACTTCCAGATTAAGAAAGGGAATATAAATATTCCTGACCAAATTGCATATAGACACAATTCTACACTTTAATTTCTATTTTCACCATTCATTTGAAAAAAATCAGACTCTCACAGAACACAATCCCCCAAGGGATTCAGTTGAGAACTCAGGACAAGGGAAATATTGGTAAGGGGACTGCATCTGTGGAACACATGGCATTTCAACAGTGTTCTATTTCCTAGTGTTTGTGATTTCTACCAACTCTCGCAAATAGGAGCTCCAGCTGTTTTGCCAGTTGGTCTCTGAGCCTAAGCCAGAAAAGAACCACCAGGAAAGTCAAGAAACCTGTTCAATCACTATAGTAACCCTTCTTAGGAGGGCCATCACCAAGAAACTCTCCTAACTCCAAAAATTCAAGTAGGATAAACATTAATTTCCTGATTTATCATTTGTAAAGGCGATTTTTCTTGTGTTAATTTTGTTATTCATTTTTGCCTTCTAAAAATAAAGCGTAATTCCTCTAAAAGGTGTACTCTTCAAAACACTTTTTTCCAAAGTTCTTTGAAATCTAAAATTTAATGAAATAAACATAGCAAACTTCTCTTCTGGAAAAAAAAAAGCCCCTTTCAAAGTGAAAAAACACTAGATTTATTTTCTTTACAAACAGGATTTAAAACTTTCTTAAATGTTCCTCTTCAGAACAAGCAAATAACATTACCACCTATGCTTCAGCCAGGATAGTCTTCTTGTTTTATAAAGTTGAAGTGGCACTTTGTTTTCAATCTATATCTTAAAATGTCTTTTATAATATAATTAATGAAATCATTACAATCTATTACTTCATGCCATAAGTTATGAAGCCAAATTAAAGTATTTTTAAAAGGTTCTCCAGTGAATATGCAACTATAATAACATCAATATTAAAACCCATACAATGATCAAAAACTTCAAATCTAGAAATTCCAAATTAACACCCAATCATGTTTTTTACATTAGTAGCCACCTTTGAAAACTGACATTCTATGTTTCAATGGCAGGAAATCTCCTACTCTAAGACTATAGTATTTTTTAAGATAACATTATATTTGTTTCCCAGTTAATAGATGATTCTTAGTGGTCTACTACTTTGCTTATTTTCTCCTTCCTTAAATAACAGTGATGATGAGACTATGCTGTTATATCATCCTGAGTGAGGAAGAATACCCACGTGTCAGAGGTCCAAACAGAACCACATCCAGGGCCTTGAGCTGAAGTTTTTGTCTATGACTTCGGTCGTTGATTTTCAATTGGGAAATCATAAATGAAGGTTCATGAACTGCTATCCTGTTCATTTAAAAAATACATATATATAAAATGAAACTTTTCTAGTACATGAATATAAATATTTGAGCAGCATATTTAATACTTTACTCATTAGTGATGACTACCATTAAAAGCTTGTCAATGCGCCTTAATACTTTATCACATTTCAAAACCATTTCATTACAAACTCAGCTACTCAAAGACTCCTGTATATTAATAATTCAGTTGCTATATTGACAGATTGTTGTTTCCTACAGTTACTTTCTACCATAACTATGATTTAGAAATCTGTAAAGTTGATAGTATTTTACTTATTAATTCTGGCTTTTTATTAATCATTCCACAAAGAACAATAACATTGAAAGTAACTTTCTTAACATCACTAGTAGACTTTAAAACAGTCCTCAAATTAGGTCATGTTTCTTTGTTTAAAATTATCTAAAACAAAATCTATACAGTCTAATGTTTAACCTGTTTAAAAATTGAACCAAGTTCACCAAAGTCATAACCGGAAAGTAAAAGTTCTTTTTGATTGGGATAGATGGGTAGAGGGATTTATGTAAAAAAAGCAGTTCTGAACCATATTGTTAGCAATGAAGAAAGCATGTAGGGAGGAGTCTAAAGGCATGGCTGAAGTAAGGAAGTAAAATCACTTTGGGAATGCAAATTCAAGCAGCCCAATACTCAACTAAGATTTCCTAACAACCAAATATGATGCCAATAAAGAGCTGTTATTATAACACTATGTCCAATAATAATATTAATGTAATTAACAGTAATGATAAAAATAAGCCAATACTTAATATGGCTTAATACTCAAGAAAACTCTATAATGTATATAATATCTCCATTTTATGGATGAAGATATTTTTAGGAGGTTATGTAACTTGCCCAAGGTTACATAATTAGTAGGTAAGGCAGAGACTCAAACCCAAATATGTATGAGCCCAAAGATGTCTCTGAACTGCTACATTTTATTTAGGAAGAATCAGAACCTGTGAGTGTAGAAAATTACAGGAACTCCTTCCTATGATGCTTGTATAAAATGTTACAGTGTAAAGTATTCTTACTTTCCCTTTTCAAAATGCCTTCCTGCATCTTTTCCACAGATACCTTTCCTGTATGCTTCCCCTATACTTTTACTACCACATCAACTGAACTCCTTGAGACAAAAACTATGTCTCACCGATTTGTCCTCAAAGCCTGAATGGCATATGGCAAAATCAGAAGTTTGATAAATGTTTGTATAACAGCTGAATGAATAATGAATTAATAGCAATACTATCAACAAACTAAATTTAAGAAAGACAATGAGACAGAGTAGAAAGTAACTATATCACAGAATTTATGAAACGCTCGATATGAGCTCACAGGTGGAAGTGATTCAACCTAATTCAGGGAAGAAGTCAGAGAAAACCACAGATGTTGAAAAGGAATGAGGAGGCTGTGCCAGGTGAAGAAAGCCCTGCTATAAACTCTAGCAATATGAAGCCAAGCCCTTGTCCTGGAGCAGCAGCCTGGTGGGCTGGAGCATAGGTGGTAAGCACAGCCTTGGTTACACAGAGGCTAACATGCTAGCCCTGGAGCCAGATTTGCCCACCTGCCACTACACTGGGGCCACCCCAGCCTAGCCGCCTGGTACACACAGCACCAAGGCCCCAACAGCAGAGCATCCGCCAATATCCCAACCTCCCGCTTCCCAATAAGTGGCGGGAAAGAGAAGTGGGGCAGAAACGAATGGGGATTGCAGAAGAGAGTTGGTACTTTTCCAAACCCTGATTAGCATAAATTCAGATCAACAGTGCTGACCCGAGTGCTATATTAACCCCTGCCCTAGCACACTCAAGTGGCAACCCCTGAAGGGCCCCCATAGCACTGTAAGAGTTTCTTTTCTTCCCATGTGAATAAATCCTAACAATCACTCTTTCCTAGATGATGAACTTCATTGTTTGAATTCACCAAATAAGAAACCCAAAGTAAACTGGAAGTGAGTGGCTGGGGGCTGCCACAACACTGGAAGGCATAACCCACCATTAAGAGCTGCAACATAACACTCTCCAATTTTGCCCCTTATGACCCTCGGGGCTAAGGAGGGCAGACATCCTCTCCCTTGGTTAGTTGCTAACACTACAACAGTGTTTCTCCACTGCAGAGGCCTCAGGCTTATGCAGACCCCACCCTTCAGCAGAAGTAGAGAAACTCCAGTTTCAATAAGAATTACACTACAGAAAAAACAGTGAAAGGCCTAAGATAACCATTATGGCTAACATAAAACTACTTATGAAATTTGAACTACCTATGGCAGATTTTAATATCCAGAAAGAATCTAAAATACTTAAGACCTAAAGTGTTTTGAATTTTGGATTTTCTCAGATTTTAGTATGTTTGCATACACATAATGAAGTATCTTTGGGAAAAGACCCAAATCTAAACACAAAATCCATTTGTTTCAAACATACCCAATACACAAAAACCAGAGGTAATTTACATGTGTGTATGTGTGTGTGTGTGTGTGTGTGTGTGTGTGTGTATTAGTGCACCTTTATTTTAACTGTAACTTGTCACATGAGGTCAGAAGTGGTACTGCCCATTTCTGGTCCCATGGCAGTGCTCAAAAGATTACAGAGCATTTTAGATTTCAGTTTTTGGATTAGTCATGCTCAACCTATAATGCATTATTGCAGGACAACTATCTGGAATGTGTAAAACATTTTCTTACACATTCTTATTACTAGCTCTTATGTCTACAGATGCCCTACACAAAGTTCTAGAACTTAAGTAGTAATTGAGGTGAGTTCGTATTGCACCTTTAAATTCATGTAGATGTTATTACCATATAAAAGAGGCTTGAGCAGGAATATCACTGCTTTCCTTTTTCTTTCCCACAAAAATGTTTCAAAGGGCTGACTTGAAATCTAAACTTCTATATTTATTCTTTTCAAAGTAACATGATTACTATTTTAAAACATTGATCTTGACACACTTGTGATATTGTCTCCACAAATTCACCAGAATTTGACTCACCTCTGATAAACTTTACTTAGCCAAATAATAAAGTAGTTATTATATTTATTAATAAACTCTGCATCAGCCTATTTTATTTCATGTTACTGTTAAATAAATAAATTTCCAAAAGACAACATAAGAAAAATACTATGAATTCCTCATAACCAGGGTACAAATATGTAAGTGAAAACACCCTAATGTTATTTTAATGTTTCAGCTGCTTTTCACTTAGAAACTTGATTCAAGCAAAAATTACATTTTATGTACTTTTTGTCTTCTTTCTATCATCTAGTTGCACCATGAACATCAAAGATACTCAATATTTGTTGAATTGACTTTTATCCCCACAATTTCACCATCATTCTAGTCATATGTATAATAAAGTCGGAAGCATTGATGTTTATGTTTAGAATATATTTAAGAAAATCTGACACCTTTCAACTTGATCCAAAATACTAATCTCAAAGAATCAAAAGCTGCTGATTTAAATTGGGCATGTAGGCCTTGGTATATTTCACTACATATAATAATTATATTATAATTGATTAGAATCTTTTTTAATAAAGAAAACAATTCAGAAAGAAATGAAACATAAAAAGAAACTTCTAAGAGTAATATTCTGATAAACTCACGGCAAATTTTAACATTTATACCTTAAAAGATTATTAGTTAGCTAATGGAGATTGAGAATATACAATTGAGAAAACTAACAACGGGTTCCAGATATCTAAGAGATAAATAGATATCCTGGACTTTAGTATCAGAGCTATCTGGATTTAAATATTACTTTAGGTAAAATATTTAACTTGTCTCTCACTTGTTGGGGATTTTTTGGTCTCTAAAATGGGGGTAATAATACCTTATTTTAATCATGAGGCTTAAATRAGATAACATAAAGTACTTCTACATAACATACATTAAAAATGGTTGTTACTATTTCTTGTTTCCTAAAATCAATTTTAAATTAAGATATGACAATGACCACCATGATTAACTGGTTATTGTCATTAAAAGAATACCAATTAAGAAAAATCTGTACATTAATCCATTCAAATAGGTATCTTCATGAAAATGAGTTGTTATCTAATGACTAAATTTTTTCTTGCTTTACCAGGTTGACCCTTTGGTACTATCTAAAATGATATAGTTGATCCATCTTCTCTTAAAATTACTTTCCTTAGGAATAAACTTTTTAAGAGCTTCATTATCTAGATAAGAAAAATTAAATATAATCTGTAAATGCATATCTTAGAAAAGATTAAAGAATGGATACATTATAATATTTCCTTTGTGTCCTCAGCCATAATGCAATTTGTAGATTCAGTAATGCAAAATGACATCTAGTATATAATTCTCCATGAAAAACACAATTAGATAATTAAGACTCACCTCGGAAGTGTAGTTCCTTTGACATTATTGTCTCTAAAATTCTTCTCATATTGAGGAAGTTCAACAAATTCTATCAACCACTGAAGAGTGTCCTCAAGGGTCCAATTATGAACTGCAAGTGACAAACAAGGAAGATGTTTCAAACAAACCGCCATCAGAATTAAAATATATACAAATGATATAACTTTAGAGGAAATAAAGATGTTAGATTAAATTTTCAATTTAAATTCATCAATAGTAAACATTAAAATGATATCTAGCACTTTATGAGGAGAAGCTTAAAAACAATGAGATGCAAACCTCTTATCTTTAAAGGCTTAGAATCTAAAACAGAAAAAAGACACAAAAGAAATCAGGACAAATATTAGCTTAACCAACTGTAAGCACCTATCCAAATTTTTACAGGATGAAATAATCTGTCATTTTCCCAGTTGTTGAAAACATACCAGATATATGGTTGTTCATTCTTCACCTAGTCATTCATTTACACAATAGGGTGATAACCTTCTGAGTACTGGGTTTCCATCTAAGCTGTGGGCATATGGCAGTGAATAAGACAACTTAAGTTTCTCAGGGGTTTAGATGGAGCAACTTATCAAGAAGGAAGAAGATAGAAGAAAATTTCGGATAGTGATGAGTTACTAAGAAGGAAAGGAAGTATGTTGGAGTAAGCCTCTCCAGGGAGTTGACATCTGAACTGGGACCTAAAAGTTACAGGAAGACACATTCTGAAGATCTGAGAGAAAAATATCCCAATCAGTGGGGAAAGCCAGTGTGAAAGCCTTTGGATATGAGTAAACCAGCTGTGTTTGAGAGACAGAAGTCAAAGAGAGACCAGGTTGTGAAAGACTATCAAGAACTTTGGATATATTTCTAACTTCAGTAAGAAAAAGGGGATTAAAATAATCTGGTTTTTAAATAGCACTGTTCGATACAAAGAATGGATTGTATGGGAAACAGGGTGAACTAAGGAGACCATTTCTTACACATTGTCCAGGCAAAAGAGGTCAATGCCTTAAACCATGATGGCAAAAGAGAAGTTGGTAACAAGTGGTCAGATTCATGATATCTTATGGGTATAATGCAAATATGACGTTTGATCCAGTGGACAGAGATTGGTGGCTAGAGGAAAGCCAAAAGTGCACCAGTATGCTATAGTTTAGATCTAAAATGTTCCACAAAGGTCTATGTATTAAAATCTTGGTCCCCCCACCCCATGGCGCTATTATGAGGTGGTGGAGTTGTCAGAGGAGGTGGGAATGAATGGGAATATTTAGGTCATTGTGGAATCGTGGTCTCTTCCTCTTTTTCACCTTCTGGTCATGAGGTGAATGCTTTTGCTCCACCATGAACTCCTACCATACGTGTTGCCCCATCAGAGACCTAAAAGCAATGTGTCCACCTGATCATGAACTAAACCCCCATTATCTATGAGACACACTTTTTGTCTTATATGCTAATTTATCTTCAGGTATTTGTTAAAGTAATAGAGAGATGACTAACACAGAGGGTCCCATTAACTGAGGTGGGAAAAACCCATTAGATACCAATTGGAAAACTGAGTAGAAACAGGTGACGGCTATCAAAAGGTCTGGTTTTAGCCATGTTATACTTTAAGTATATATTAGATATTTAAATGTAGATAATATAATGGTGGACATATTACAAGTGCAGAGCTTAGAGGAAAAGTGCGTTTTGGGAAAGAGATATAAATGGGAAATCAGCAGAAACCAGATGATCTTAGAATGAATGAGCTCACTCAAAAGGGTAAAAATACCTATTAGTAGATTTTAGAAGACTAGACAAAAACCAAGATTAAAAGAAACCTATCACATCTTCTCTGGACATTTATTTGGCATTAAGTCCATCTTATACACACTCTTTCCTTTAAACTTTTTTTTTTTAAAGGTGCTAACATGATTATCTTCATTTTAGAGAAGAGAAACTGAGGAGACCAAGACATTAAACAGCAGGATTGGATTTGAACTCAGGCAAAATGACCATGGAACCTAACTCTACACCACTCTGAAAGCAATACCATTAAATGTCAGTGAAGATGTAAACAAGCAGTTAACTCTGGTCCAAGATTTCTGCTTGCCTGTAGAGTATAAAGCTAATCCAGAATAAAGAATGCAAATATACTTGATAAAAGCAGAGTTCCATAGTGTCTGAGTTTGAGGATTTGGGAAAGCAAATTGCTTATAGACCACACAAGAGGATGAAGAAGAGTGAAGAAAACAAGTGAGCAATAAAAGTCGATCTGGAAATCCATCGTGTATAAACAGAACTGAGAAAAGATCTTTCTGAAAAAACTGCTGAAAATTTAAATTTGCATTTGCACGCAAAGCTAGGTTTTTGCAATCTGCTTTTTTCTTTAAGTGTTCTTTTGAGAAAAAACTTTAGTAAATCAAAATTAGCTAGCAAAATCTCATTTAAAAACTGTGTGGTAAGTGATAATTTTATTATGAGATAAAGCTTTGACTGTTTTTTAATGTTCTCTTCTTCATGTATTCCTGCCATAAAGTCTGGCTATGGGTCTAAGCTGCTATATTCATTTAGCCAAATAAATGAAGACATCAGCCAAAGGTCCAAGCCTTAGTGATTTCCACTGAATTTAAAACATTCAAAGTAGCCTTTTCACTCTGAAGGTTTTTGCCTATTCAAGATTAACTGCATTGAGATCTGCCCTGTTGACTGCCAAGAAAACCACAGCACAGCTGCACCTCACACACCCACACAAAATCCTCAACCACAAAGCTAAGGAAAAGAGTCTCTTTCATTTCTGTGATTATTCCATAGTAAAAGTTCCTAATATAAACATTTAGCACATCAAAACATTCCCTCAATTCCCAATGAGTCAGCACAGAAAGGAAGAAAAATGATAAAACAAATACCTAAATCCTAGTATTTCTCTATCTAATAAGCAGAAAATTATAGTGGTTGCATTTTCATTTTTAAAATGAATCTTTGGGGCTGGGGACGTGGCTCAAGCGGTAGCGCACGCGCCTGGAATGCGCACGGCTCTGGGTTCGATCCTCAGCACCACATACAAATAAAGATGTCGTGTCCGCCAAAAACTAAAAAATAAATATTAAAAAATTCTCTTTCTCTCTAAAAAAATTTAAATTTAAAAAATAATTTAAAATGAATCTTTAAAACGGCAAAATTCTGACACAGAACATTAATTTGTGAGGAGGTTTACTTCAACTTCCACTGTCTGGCTTCCTTGATAATGCCTAGTAAACACCTTCATCTCTTTTCTCATGACAAGACTTTGCAGTTTATATTAGTGTTCTCTTCCCTGAATACTCTGGCTATCTTTCAACTCTCACGGCAGATAATACTCCTGCTATTTCCTCAGTATGAAACCCTTTCTGCCCCTCCACCCTATCACTGCCTACTTATTTTATTGAACCTCCCATAAAACCTCAGCTAAAACTTCAGTTTCTCAGGTGAGCCTTTCCAAATACTGTTAATATGGTTGTAAATCATCCTGAACTTCTTATACAGATTTTAACTAATTATTATTAATTTATTTGTAGGATTATTCTTTCAGCATCTGTTTCTCCCATAAAGGAAGTATGAGTTGCTTGTTGGGTGCTCTATCCACAGTACTTGGATTTAAACAAATACCTAGTATTTGTTATACAGAAGGGACTCAACAAATCATTTGTTAGATGCTACTGAATAGTGAAGTAGAACATGTTTAATTGATAAGTATTGTGAAAATCTATTTTTACATTTTAGTGAGGAGATGCAAATAAACAGATTTGTCTGCATTAAAAATTCTTGATGGCAAAGTAGTTATTCATTTAAGAATTACCCAGTTTTTTTTTTTCTTGTGCACCTTCTGTTAGTCTTTTACATGTGCAATTGCTTAGTAGCACTTAGTAGCAATTGCTTAGTAGCATCAGAGGGCAGACACAAAAGGACATGATATTACCTTTTAAAATRTACCTTGCAATTAAAAGGCTACAGAAATGAAAATTTCTGCCCCCCCCCTTTCAAAGTTGTAGCCAGTGCTATAAGGTTGGTATCTCAGGGAGATTTTTGGCAATTTATTCTACAATTAATAGAATGAACTAAGGAATCAAAGAGACCTGATTCAGGTTCCAGCCTGTGCCACTGGTTCACGGTGAAATCACAGCAGGTTATTTAACACTGGCTAAATTTCTTAACACATGAAATAATGAACTTGAGCTAGAATATCTTTAAAATTCATTCAAATTCTGCTTCTATGATTTCATTTTTTTAAGTTAGTATTTAAAACATTGCTAACTAAATAATTAATCCAGAACAGTAGATTAAAGAAAACTGCAAGGGAAAAAATGACTCTAAGAACTTTCAATAAAGCAATAAAAACTATTGCTAAAATTTATTAAACATTTATGAAATACCAGATTTGTAAACATTATTTCAAATAATTATTGCAACAACTCTTTGAAAAAGGCACTTTAATCAACTTATTGACTTTAAAATTTTATGGAGGTGAAATTCTTTATTAGATATAGCAGATTAATAAGTGGCCACAATGTTAATCAAATTATATTGTTTTATGTTGTACACATATGAATATGTAACAATGAATCCCACTATTATACATAATTATAATGCACCAATAAAAATATGGAAAAATAATAAATTACCAATCCAGGTCTCAGACAAAATGTTTCTAGAGTCACTGACCAATGTGCAATAAATAACTTTGCCTCTGGTCTTGATAATCAGATTAGGCAGGTTCAATAGACAGTTAATGGTCCATTCACACTTGCAGCTTTATCTACAGCTTTCTGAATATGACATTCCCCTGTGTACCACAGCACTCTTCAACTTGGAATGGCTCTCCTTTCTTCCTTCTTTGCCAGTTTGCTTTTCCTTAGTCTTTATAACTCAGACTGGGAACTCCTTTTTCTAGTAAGTTTTCCTGATCCAGCCACTTCCAGATTATAATTGCTCTTGTTTGTGTTCTCTGATAATCAGCCCATATGTCTGCTATAGAACTCCACATAGTATACTGTAATTGTTCGTGCCTGACTTGCTCTCTGGATGATGACGAGTTCCTGGAGGGCAGAAACTTACTCTTTTAACAAACACTAACCATTAACACTAATG